GCAGTGATCTGCTGGATGAGCATGAGCGCCTGGATACTGGTGTTGAAGTTGGCGGAGTGTGTGATGCGGAAGAGAGTATCGATGTGCTTGGAGAGACTAAAGACGGATTAGCGATGTATAGAAATCAAGGACATGCGAAACGTACCGTTCACTATCCGAGCTGGTGAATGGGTAGGCTCGGTTGACACCAGTCAGGACTGCAGAGGTCAATTTATCCCGCACCTCTTCAGTCTGAGCCAGACTCCTGTCAGAGTCCTCCTTCCCCTTGTTCTTGTTGTGCTTGTTGCCATATTTTCCGTTCTTCTTGCCCTTTGGCTCCTTGTTAGGCCGCAGGAGAGCAACAAAAATCGAGAAGTAGATGTCAAGCAGCTTCAATGCAACGGTCTCTTCCTTGAGACTCAAGACCGTTTGGTTCAGCGTGATAACAGCATAGTATTTGGCATGTTGACTCTGACCAGGACGGAAAAGGACTTCCTCCACGGCGGCGATGATGGTGGGCTTCATCAGAGGGTGGGCCTGTTCAAGTTGCAACAGGAGGTAGGATGCCCGCGAAGCAATCTTCTTCGACGTATCTCCCAGCTTGTTGACCAACAGTCGCAGGAGGTTCGTTTCCTGCTCCGGCTTTTCCTTGAGTAGTTCGTAAACGTAGCTGACAGCTCTGGAGCGAGAGAACTCAATCTCATCATTACACCAGACTTCGAGGATCTTAAGGACTTCGAAAAACTGATCCTTCAGGAAGTGCTCATAAGCCCAAACAATCAGGTGGCTCTTCTGAAGCCCTCCAGGGAGAGGGTCTCCTTCGGACCACCTGCTGCCTGCGCCTTGCAACGCAGCAATAAGAGACGGCTGGTTGGCAAAAGCCCGGAGTCTCCTGTCGCTAGGAAGTAACGTTCCTTGAGCGAACATATCCTTGAGCGATCTCAAGACTTCCACGGCCTGAGCACGACTGCGCTTCTTTCCAAGGGCGATGAGGTCACCCAATGCCTTCGTGTTGTGAAGAGGTGACTCTTGAACAGCAAGAGTCAGGGCAGAAGTCTTATCGCTAAGTGTACCGGTAGACATGATCGTGCTGTAGAACTTGTGGGATGAAGAGGCAGATGCTTGCTGCGCTTCCGCGTACATCTTGTTTTCCTTCTCGAGCAGAGAGACGGCGTAATCGTAGAACCGATCCACCACATGACGAGGCAGCGACTTTGCTTGTGCTGTCGGTATCGAGGGCAGTTCCGTCATGTACCAATCGGACCTGGGTCGAACAGCCTAATGGCTACATTAGAAGGATATTTGTGATTTGGGCTGGCTATACTCACGAGTTTGGAAAACTCCTTGGGGAAGACGACTTCGGCGGCGGGTTCCTTGTTGGCTTTCTCTTTCTTGGCCGATTCTTTGGTCTCCTTCGGGGCGGGGGCGGGAGCTGGCTCTTCATCCTCTGAGGGTTCCTCGTCCTCATCATCCTCGGCTTCTTCCTCCTCATCCTCTTCGACGTCATCTTCCTCGCTTGCTTCTGCCTCCTCGGCTTCCTCTTCCTCCACCTCTTCGTCCTCTAGGTCGTCAGGGACAACCTGACCGGCGGCAGCCAGGATACTCGAAAGTTCCTTCCGGAGAGAAGCATCGTCGGACTTGCCCTTCGATTTCTTCTCTGTAGCATCTTCAACTTCAGAGTCCGAACCAACCCCGGCGATGAGATCCAAATCTTCCTCCGTGCCTCCGAGGGCCAAAATCTCTTGCCGCAAAACATCGGCCTGGTTCTCCTTCGATGCCGGCTTCTTATCTTTCGAAACAGCCTTCTCCTCCCTTGCGATCACCTCACCATTGCGGTCCCGCTTCTTGCCTTTGTTGTTCTTGTCGTTGTTGAACGCTTGCTTCGGCTCGGGCTTGGGTGCAGGCTCTTTCTTCTGTGGCGTATCACTGGGACCCGACTTTCCCTTGTTGTTCTTCGGCTTCTGCTTCGAGGCGCTCTGGTCCTTCAGTCGCTGTTCGATCTTCTGTCGCAAGCCGGCAAATGCACTTTCCTCGAGTTGTGGAAGAGCATCAGCACCGGGGGCGGAGTCGTTAACAGCGACACCACCGTCGGGGATGATGTTGTCTGCTCCGGAAGAGCGCTTCCCCTTACTTTTGGCCATGACGGATGTTGTACGGCCAAATGTAGACTTGATGATGGGGATTTGCATCTACTTTTTTTCTGCCGCCAAAAAATTGAGGAGAGCCCCCAGGCCGCCGGAGAAACGGCGGGCCGAGACCCATGGGTCGGCGCACGGACCATCCGAAGTCGTCGAGTTTCGCATGCTTGCGATCTATTTACTTTGCGATTGATCTGGCTAGGTTATGGTGTCATCCATTGGTTTGGATGAACATTACTGCCGAGTGCTGAGGGGCTGTCCTGATCGTCCGGCCTCATGATCTCCGGGTTTCGCCCGGTTCCGGGCCGTTATTCCGCAACATGTCGAGCTTACTTTGGTATTGCTCGATTCCATAGAACATCAAAATGCGCCTTTCATGTATACGATCCAGGTCACTGTCAACCCAGAAATCCCGCTGACTGATCCATAGGTAGATGGGCGTAGCCGGGTTTCTAATTTTTGGATTCCGACGGGCGGCATTACCAAAAAGCCCGTCCAGGGTGAGAAAGGTATTGATTATTGCCAGCCTATCCCATTGTTGACGGCTTCTAATGTTGCTCAGAGGATGCCAATGACCTCTTGATCCGAGGTGGTTTTTTGCGACAGGTAAGTGTCACTCCCAATACGATAGATCTAGTCCTGATCCGGTCTTCAGGCTTACTCGGGGATATTCCATATGCTGCCTCTGGGACTGCGTGTCCAAGATAAGCTAGAGCGACTCATTGACAAGTATATGCGAACAGTTGGTATGTTAACGATACGTCCTCTGCAGTCATTGAGTTCTTTCTTATTGGGTGGATCTCGGCAGGGGCATCTAAGGTGTCATTATCATCTTTATCCGCCCAGGAGCTTTGGGAGCAGTCTGGGCGTCTCAAAGAGGGCTCGGAAGTATGAAATCCGCTGTCTTTGTATCAACGTTTACTTACGTCTGTCTCAGATCTTTCGTTTCCAGGATCGGAAAGAGTCCCGCTTTCTTCTTGCGCCGACTCATGAAGAGGAGATCACCACTCTAGTGGGTCATCTTACCAAATCCTATAGAGATCTGCCAGTGCGAGTGTACCAAATATGTAAGTAGATAATCCAAGGCTGAGACAACTGCTGACATCAACGTAGCAAGGAAGTACCGGGATGAACAGCGACCCAGACAGGGCTTACTTCGTGGGCGTGAATTCATCATGAAGGATCTTTACACTTTCGATTACAACGCCGAGAATGCCCTGAAGACGTATACAGCTGTAAAGAAGGCTTACACAGAGCTCTTCGATGAGCTCAAGATCCCCTATTTGGTTGCTGCTGCGGATTCCGGAAACATGGGCGGTAGCCTAAGTCACGAGTTCCACTTTGCTAGCAACAAGGGCGAGGACACAGTTATCAGCTGTTCCAGCTGCGATAGTGTCTACAACGAGGAACTTGCCGATGGAAAGGCCCATAATGTCGATGACCAGCAAGCTCAAATTGGTCACGCATCCGGCTTTGACACGGGCGAAGTATCTGGCGAATCAGCGAAAGCTGTTTCTGTTGGCCTGTGGATGGCGATATCACAAGACAAAAACACACTGCTGCGCTGCTGGTATCCGCAGTATACATTGAAGGACCCTAGTCAGCCGCCAGCTGAAAGGGAAGTCAACTCCCATGCCGTCAAGTCTATTGCCAAGGCAGCCGGCATAGACCTTGATATCAGTATTGAAAACCCCTTGGAACAATGGGCAAAGCACATTCAGTCAGAGGAAGCTTCCGGCCAGCGGCCTCGAGTGTTGGATGTGTACGACTCATATGTGCGGGCATACAAGCGCCCTCCTTTGACAGATACATTAGACGGGATTAACCGCGCCGTGGAGGATGTTGACTTTTCAAAACTCGATCGCTTCCCCGGAACCAACAACTATCTCAACCTTGTACGGGTGCACGAAGGCGACCAGTGCTCGAAATGCGGCCAAGGCTTGACAAAGACCCACAAAGCCACCGAACTTGGTCACACGTTCCACCTTGGCACGCGATACAGCGATGTTCTACAGGCCTCTGTGGTGGTTGACCGCGCTCACCTTGACCCAAGCGACCGTTCATCGTCCTCCCAAAAAGACCAATTAGTCCCAATGCAGATGGGCTGTCACGGTATCGGAGTATCACGCATGATCAGCGCGGTAGCAGACAACCTGGCAGATGCCAAGGGTCTCAACTGGCCCCGTGCGATCGCTCCCTACGAAGTTATCGTCGTCCCTGCCAAGGGAATGGAAGAGGAAGCAGTGAAAATTTATGACGCGCTCACCTCAGAGCCCACTACTGCCTTGGACGTCATCCTCGACGACCGCGATAAGCAGATGGGTTGGAAGCTGGGAGATGCAGATCTTATTGGTTACCCTGTGATTGTGGTCGTAGGCAAAGGCTGGAAAAAGCAGCGCACCCTGGAAGTGCAGTGTCGGCGACTTGAAGTACGTGAGGATGTTGCCTTGGAGGCTCTGCCGGAGTTTGTGGGTTCTTTGCTTGAGAAGCTGTAGGGAACTTCAATCCCTCGGGCTGTGTTACGGGCAGGCACTGCAAGCTGCGCCACGCTATCACATTGGTAGAATCACTGTACACTATCACTACTAATTGCTAGGTAACTTCCGTTAATATATACCCCTCCATTCTGTTAATTAAGTACCCGCCACCTTGCATCAGCCTAGTCTGCAAATCCCGCCTTGCAGTAGTCACTTTCCGATATTGGTGAATATATTCACACAGTATAAAAAATAGACAAGTAGACTCTGTCTCGCTGCATTTTTGCAGCCTGCGCTCATCTCTCACCACCTGAACACTACCACCACTAAAAGCAACCCATTTCGGTCCCATTCATACCCCATGTTCAAAAGCCTGCCTTTCAGACCCGAACCAAACCTTCACAAAATGAACCCCCACACACATGCCCGGGTAGGTGTGGCCGTCTTCATCTTCAACGGTCACAACGAATTTATTATCGGTCAAAGAAAAGGCAGTCACGGTGCTGGTACGTATCTACCGCCATGATCACAATTATCATCAAGACAAGAACATCATCATTTACACTAATATACTATCGTCGCTACCACTGATTTGATTAACATACTGATATATTTTCAATTTCAGGAACCTGGGCACTTCCAGGTGGACATCTCGAACTCAACGAGTCATTCGAGACATGTACAGAGCGCGAAATCCTCGAAGAGACCGATCTCAAGGTCCAAGATATTCGCTTCTTAACTGTCACTAATGATATCATGGAATCGGAGGGAAAGCACTACATTACTGTGGTAATGGGATGTAAGCTTTGTGATGTGGATGCGCAGCCTAAGGTCAGCTTCTTCCTCATGCCATTTTTCTTCCTTCTTTATCTCTTCATATCATATTCACGTGCTTGGTGTCATCATGAATGTGTCGTGGTTATGTGCATCTTTTCATTCATATTCACCTTATCCATAGAAAAATACATACTGACAACCAACAGCTCATGGAACCCAACAAATGCAGTGGATGGGAATGGACAACCTGGGAACAGCTTCGAATGGATTATGATGCAGGGAAGGGTCGGCCTTGGATTGAGAGAGCCTCCCGGAAGTTAACGCCGGCAGCTGCCTACGATGAGGCTGTTTTTTCTGAAAAGGGAGAGATTATTCCTGAGAGTGATTCGATGGAGGTGGATGAGAATACCGAGATGACTACGCCTCAAACTCGACAGCTCTTTCTTCCCCTGGTGAATCTGTTCGAGCAGAGGGGTGGGTTTGATCCTGTTGCGGATTACTGGATTGCAGATTAGGAATTGAGGGGCGGTTGATTCTACTGAGTGCTGGTGTATTGCTTGTGAGGATAAGAATAGAAGAGAATTATGATCTTAATGTCTATCCTAGCTGGAACTATGAGTAGTTGCAATGAAAGCTGAGACTCCAGTTACCTTCTGAATAAATCTACAGCTTATATGTGTGCGATACACTACCAGTATTGTCTATACATAATGAATGGTCCTCGTATATTAGAGAAGATAGAGGCCGATGTCTCTTCCTAGGCTACCATTTCACTTTTCCTGGCGTATCTGGAAATGCTAAAAGAATGCCTAGTAATAGAGGAATGCTCCTGCACATTGAGCGCAGGAATGAAAATTTCAAGCCTCTAACGTAGACATATGTACTATGGGTAAATACCGCCTTGGTTTGAATATCTATTGATAGACTACAATCGTACTATCGGGAATTAACATCGAGTTCCCTTCATTCAATGGAACTTCCCTGAACAAGCAGTCCATCACATGACGCACTTCTTCTATAAAGGCTAGAAAGGCTCCTCTCCCTTTCTTTAACTACGAAATAAAGTAGTATATATAAATCCTTCCAAGTCGAACCCCATCAATCCAATGGCTCTCGCCATTTTGTCGAAGATAAATCCCATAAAATCCGGGCAGTCACCGCATCATTTATATAAAACCTACCTGAATTTATAAAAACGGAAACTTATCATCATATCCAAACACAGACCAGGAGCTGATACAGTCCGGAACATACCAGTAAGTCATATACAAGCAATCTCTATCCACCTCTCCATGGGTCCCCCTACACCCTGTAAAGGATATAAGAACATCCACCCCAATTTTACCAACCACACATAAGATAAGCATCACCATCCATCACTGAGCTCCAAGCAACAACAGCAACACTCAATCCTTCAACATGGGTATCGAACTAACCTCACCCGAAAGCAGCCGTTCTCCATCACCCGTCCTCAGATGTGCACTCACTGCAAAGGCAGAAGCAATCCTCGCCAATAATTGTCTCACTTACAACGTCTCGGTTGGTTTCAATGAAGCCTGTGGGGTTGTCTACTTGGTTGTGGTTCACGATAAATTCGGTGTGGAAAAGTTGACTCTTCAAAATATCCGACGATTTGAAGTTGCCGAGTGTCAGCTAAATCACTTTTTGGAGGAATACCCAGTTGAAGGTTATCGTGAGTACATTTAAATATCTTATCGTTGGAAAACCATAAAGCTTAGTTGTGCCCTTAACGCCACTGTGATTTGGAACTGATCCATATAGCTCAACTGAAACACTGTGGTTATTCGACTTCACGCCATTTATAGCTTTATGCATACTTGACTCATTTAAATGACTCTCATAATTTATCTAGGCGAGCGCGTGCAAATGCAAATGGACTTGCAATCCATAAACTATGCTTACGACCATGCTGACATGAGTTCTCATTGAACTTGCAGATTGAAGCTGTCATTTTTGATGTATCATAAATTGAGAAGAGGAACAGTTGATCCTGGGTAGTACTCAACCCCTCGAAGCTTTTGTCTGATGGTGAGATTATCGTCGGTGCTGTTACTGATTGCTAGGTATGTTGTGGCTGCCTAAGACTTTGATCATCTATACAATTCTTGGCTATAGGAAAGTGATATACAAACAAGATACAAATACATGGTTTGCTCGGTGCAGAACACTTTGCGTAGAACTGTATATTGTGTAGACATAGTATTTAGTATGAGGTCTCTAAGCCTAACCAAAGACGTACACCACTCCTCACATCTAGAACTCATACATTATACTACCTCAATAGTACCTACATCATCATAAGGAAATTACATACCTCAATATATCGTCCATACCACCCTAATTCGCACTCCAATAGTAATTATAACTAAAGTACATAGGGCTGCACAGCACACACACACACGCCCCACCCACAACCCCCGCTGACTAACCCACCACTTATGCACACTATGCATCCCATCCCTCCCCACCAATACACTTGACCGCGGGCCTCAAAGCTCGAAGCCAGCATCATCACCATCACCATCACCACATAACCCAGTAAGTACAGCACACAATTCCACACCCTTTCCCCCCTCACAACCTCATCACCCCAATCTTCTCTCCAGACCCCTAACCAATATTTCGCAGACAACCAAAAATGCCACCTCCCAACACCCCCGCATCATCCGACTCCCCCCCTCCGGGCTCAGGTACGCACACCAAACACCTCCCCCCCCAAAACCAACCTCACCACTAACTCAAACCCACTCACCAAAAGTCAACATCAACTCCCTCTCCGTTCCGCAACTCCGCGCGCTTCAAACCCGTCTCTCCTCAGAACTTGAACACCTGACGACTTCGCACGCCAAGCTGCGCGCCGCGCAACTCAAGTTCAAAGACTGCGTGCGCTCCATCAACGAAGGTGTAATTGGGTCTCAGAAGAAGGGCACCGACGGAAAGGAGGACATCCTGGTGCCGTTGACGAGCTCGCTGTATGTGAAGGGGAAGTTGGCGGATCGGGAGAAGGTGCTTGTTGATGTGGGAACGGGGTTTTATGTTGAGAAGGTGAGTCCATTTATACCCTTGTCTAAGTATCTATCTATCTATCTAGGTTTTTGTTTATGGGGGAGAATGAGGCTAATGGGTTGGTAGACTACGTCCAAGGCTATCGAGTTCTACGAGGATAAGGTTAAGAGTCTGGAGACGAATCTTACGGAGTTGGAGAAGATTGTGCAAACGAAGAGTCAGCAGCAGAGGTTGTTTGAGGATGGTGAGTGATGCGATGCATATTCTTGGCTGAGGACAATTTCTGGTTTTATTTGCGGTGAACTAACGATTGCTACTAGCTCTGAGACAAAAGTTGCTGGCTGAGGGTGCTGGGTCCTCTGCTACTGCGTCTGCGGGTGCCGGTTGAGTGACTCTAGGCCCATAGTATAGGAGATTGCGTGGCCTTGGGATGGATATATAGTCGAAATGAACAACGACTGGAACTGTTACACCCCTTGTGAGGACGCGTTGGAACAGACCTGTCTGATGTTACTCAAGCTGCGGGTTACAAGAGGCAGGTCCGATACGAGCACGCCGGCTTCATTGACGGAATTCCACTGTCAGCTGGCACTTCAGAGGGACACGGACTCGGCCGAAAATTATGGAGGTGGTTATAATAAAAACTGGCAATTTAGAGCTGAAGCTGAAGCAGTGCACAACATAATATCATATTAACGAACGCCTCCACCTCCATTCCCTCCCCTTTCCCATACGCCGTAGTTCTGCTTTTTTTCTCGGACACGCCAGAGAAGTCTCGGCCTGACACCTCGGCCCCTGAGACTAAAACAAGGTGCCGAGGTCTGCATTGAGCAGCCCAGCCAGATCGGTCATGCCCATTACCGGCGACGAGTCGCTCGATCGGCCCTGAACCGTCGAGGGCTTGACGCTCGGTGCAGAATCGGAGCCAAGCAAAGCCTTCTCTCCAGAAGAGGTTGCAGTGGTCCGTACAGGACCCATTAGTCCCGCAACCTGCTTCACCATGTCGACAAACTCCCAGAACCCTTGGCTTTTCTCTGAGCCGCCCGCTGCCCCTCTTGCCGGGAAAAAGCTATCCAAAGTAGGATCATATTGAGCAGCATGCCCGATAGCCAAGTTGGCATGTTCACCCAAGAGATTGTCCCAGTGAGGGTCGAACAAAGATGCGCCCCAGGAAGTATTAGGCTCCGTGGTGAACGGGCCCGCGTAATTCCCCGGTAGCTTGCTCGACAACGCTGACGCATTTGCACGGCTATACTCATCATAGCGGGCAATCTCTAGAGTATAATTGGTTCCTTTGATCCTGTAACGAATGGCGGATTTCTCAATAAACCTGGCCACCGGCGCGGACTGAGAGAATTTGACCTTTCTCTCGGGCTTGGCCGAAATATCGTGCATAGTAGCAGTACTACGGAACTTGATGGTGTTTGCAAAATCTCTCAATGCAGCATCGATCGAACTGGCCTGGTAGAATTCCAGAGACTTCAACTCGAGCTGCCAGTCAGACCTTTCGAAGTCAACGACGGCTACCTGCAGGGGTGGGCGTTTGTCGCTGGATTGGCCGTCCTGACGGGGTTTAAGCCACCTTCGCTGGGTGGCCTCGTATTCTGATGCACCGGGACTCCTGGCGAACTCTGCCTCCAGTCGAAGCATGGAGTTGCTTTGGCCTAGAAATTCGAAATTCACTGAAAATGCAGGCTCGGCACTGCTCAGCGTTTGTGCCGTGCTGAGGTATGGCTGAAGCAGATGGGTAGCCTGGTAACATCTAGCAAGAAGTTCGTCCTTATGGACCTTGAGGCTGTAGGGATGACGAATGATCAGTGACATCGTCACAAACACAACAGAGCGGAGCTTACCCTGGTATCAAGCGTCCCTTAGTCTGCTCGTGCAGTATCATTTCCCTGAACTCCTCCAGAACATAGTATGGCTTGTCGTCTGCCGGAATACGGTACTGGTCGAGTACAAACGAGCCGAGATTGACCCGCATACGCAAATGTCCACGAACAACGACCACGCCCTTTAGACATTTCTCGACCATGCTCAGAAGCCGGGCATTATTCTTTGATTGGATCAGGCTCGCTCGATCGGGCCACCGTTCCGCCTCGGAGCCCTGGAGTGGAATTCCACGGAGTAAGGGCTTCGCTAGGCGGGCGTCCTTCTTTACGACAATCTTACTTTTCATGGCAGTCGGAGGCTCGACAAGGTAGAGCTTGCCTTTCACAACATAGTTGGCAACAACCTCAGTGTACTTCGTTCTGAGGCGTCGGACGATCTGCCTCATGGCCTCGTCGTTGTGCCCAACAGCGCAGATGTGATCCGGGAGATCTTTTGGGACAAAGACGTGACAATTGAACTTGACCCGTATGTGGTCGAGGGCCTCGAGCTGCGGACCCAGGGAGTCATGAATAGAAGGACCATCCTTTGGCCACAGAAATAGCATCTACAAATGAGAATCAGTCAGGCGGTCAATAAAGTGTGTGAAAGGGTAATCCTAATTTACTCACAAAGTCCGAAAAGTCGTAGGAGGAATCCGGTGGCTTTTGCAGCGCCTGGAGCCTGGCATTGTATCTCTCCTTCATCTCCACACGAACTTCCTTACTGACTGAATGTGCCGTAACCTTATCCCATTCTACCTTCTTTTTGCTCGAATGGCTACACTTTGCCATGATACTGAGAATGATGTCCTTTGCAGCTGCAACTTGAGGTGGCTCGCCCCATAGGTAGATGACCTATCTCCGTTAGTGTGCGACTTTTTTTTTGGGGGGGGGGGGCGCTGGCTCATGGAGCTTACAGTATCGTTATAGAAGGGTGGTTTAATGAAAGCTCCTGTACGTCGACTAATCTCTTCAAAAACCTCATAGCGGCCATGCGCCGCCGGGGGCTTTCTGATTGAGCTTGTCGATCTTGCAACGCCAAAAAACCTGCAACAGCTTTAGCACATTTAAAAACAACAACTGCAGAAAGTCTGTGTATACTCATTCTTCAACAATCCGAAAGGCGCGGGTAGTTTAACGAGGCCTGCAGTTTCCTTAGTGAGCTTTTGGATCACACTGCACGCAGGGTCTGGTCTTACCTGCAGGCTCTAGTTTACCTCTCCACTTCGACTTTGCGGGCGAATCACCAAAGACGTTTGGCTTGGGCGATACCCCGCTTGAGTGTCCAATCCGTCCGCGATAACCTCCACGGGCTCTTGTTGGTCGTGGTATACCTGGGGGACGAACCGGCGTGCTGGGAGTGCCTTTATTGGCAGGTGCGGCTGGGGGTTGCTTGGAAACCTCATCCGGCGTGGGCTTTGAAGCTTCTATAAAAGTGATCAGTTCCGGACTTTGCTGTTGCTTGGGATGGATAGTAACCTTGCTTTCCGTAGCCCGGTAGCGTCCATTCTGGAACAAAGATCAGTTATTGGCAACTAACGAATATAACCAAATGGCGAGGGAAATAATGATATCTACCCTGGGCTCCAGAAGACTCGAAGCTATCTGCAGTCAGCCAGTATCTGTCCAAAGAGATTCGGGGACTTACTCGACACGTGTATTCGAAGCCATCGCGGAACGCGTGAAAGTGTTAATCAACAAGATGCTGAAAGATCACAGAAGGATCTAAATTGCAGTTAACACAGTGCTGAGGAGGAGTCGCAAAGTACGATGGAAAGAAAGGGGAAATGCAGGGATTTATGAGCGGTAGTGGTCGTGACTATGATGGTTGATGGTGAAGGGACAGTGAGAGGAGGGTGAAGGAGAAGAGTGACAGGAGTGAAAATAGTGGGATGGTTAAGTGTCCCGAGAAACACTTACTTGCTGGCAGGAACAACCCGGTGAATACTCCCAAGAATTCGTTTTGCATTAAAGACAAATCTACAAGCGAACCAGGAGGATCGAAGTCTTGGAACAGCTTCCGGCTGGGAAGGAACAGGTCAAGTGAAGGCAGTCAAGGTAATATTGCTTCATTCTCTACTAGGACGTTAGTCAAGTCAGATTACTGTGAAGCAATGTGAAATCAATAAATAACAGCAGCAGGAGTAAAGTGTACTGGGGTGGAGAGAGAAGCTCAGGCTTGTAAATATGGCTCAGTCTACAAAAAAGTCAGAAGACATTCATTCCTAGAATAAAGCTGGGTAGCAAACAAACATAGCAAAAGGTACGAAATTTTGGATAGTTGCCATAGACTGCAGCCATGCTTGAGCACAAAGTCTAATGCTCCTATTGTAGAACCAGAACCGTTGCTACTATCACTGGTACTGCAGTACTGAAGTAGTGGTTTGTATGGCGTTTGCTATACGGAAAACACTCGAAGTATACGAGAGGCAATACCCGCTGTCATTGGCCAGAAACAGCTGCGCGTTACCCAAAGTGGACAACGCGCAGCGGGCGCGCCTTTCCCTTTTTCGTCTTTTCCGTCGCCGGTCCAACAAACTAATCAATTAATTATCATCCATCATATCATCCCATCAATCACTTCATTACGGCCGTCGCTGCCCCAACTTCCATCCCTCCTCTCTGGTCTCTGCAGGACAATGGCTTCTGACTCTGCCGATGAGGCAGACAAGTCGCGGTCCCGCAAGTCTAGCGTCCGCAAGCGTGCTCAGCTATGGATGACCAAGGGAGGTCTTGTCCGTGACGACTCCGACGACGAACTCGGCGAGGAAGACCACCCGTGGGAGTGGATCTATGACCACAACGACGAGAACAACAAAGAAAGCGAGCAGGCGACTATAGAAGATACCCCGAAATCGAGCCGAAGACGCACCCCTCGCCCCAATGCCAAACGCCGCCGGACTATTGTCGGAGCTCGGATGGGCTCGTTCGAATGCGCCTTGGGCCAGGTGGTGCTTTTGAAATCCCCAGAACCAGGCAAAGATTGGATTGGCATTATAACGGAATTCGTGGAACAGGAGGATCCGGATGCTGAGGACGAGATCATCAAATCGGCGAACATCATGTGGTTTGCTTCCCCGGATGAGTTCATGTCAACCCGGAACAAGCGACGAGCCGACGCTTTGCCCAACGAGCAATACCTGACTGCCGATTTTAACGTCAATCCTCTTACGTCGATCAGTGGCAAAGCTACGGTGATGTCCAAGGATGCATTCTACGCCAGGTACCCAGACGGTGCTCCCCCGAAAGGAAAAGAGGCCCTCGCGGAGTTCAACAAGTGCATTGTTGTTCGGAGAGGAGTAAACCAGCTGCAAGGACGTTATACGGAAGAGTTTGTCTGGGAGGACGTATACCGTGAGGATAGGGTCTTTGATCTCATCACCTTGATTAAGGATGGGTTGAAAGCAGCCAAAAAGCGCAAGCAAGTCGACGACGACGTGAGTGATGTTCCTGATTGGTGGTGGATTCATGGTGCTAACGTATGCTGGAGTATGATGACAAGAAGGACGACACCAAGGAAGAGGATGAGTTTGTCCCCACCACACCTAGGAAAAGGCAGAAGGTGGCTACAAACGCTACTCCCCAATCGCGGCGTCAAAAGACCTTTACCACCCCAGCTCATAAGAGGTAGGCAAACAAGCTCCTCCAACCAGATATCGGCTAACGTATCCCGACAGGATCGTCGTCAAGAAGCCTCTCGAATTTACACCTCTCGGTACTCGTATTCTTTCACCCACTCATTTCGCCTCCCCGTACCGCCAGGCGCGCACGTTGCTGCACGTTTCCACCGTGCCTACATCGCTTCCATGCCGAAAAACGGAGTTCGAAACAGTGTATAGTCATCTCAGTGCCGCGATCATGGAAGGGACAGGGGCTTGCATCTACATATCAGGAACGCCGGGTACTGGAAAGACAGCAACGGTCCGCGAAGTCGTTGCGCAATTGAATTCGGCTGTGTTGGCAGAAGAGATGGACGATTTTATCTTCGTTGAAATCAACGGCATGAAGGTCACCGATCCTCACCAATCTTACTCGCTGCTCTGGGAAGCGCTCAAGGGTGACCGAGTATCGCCTTCACATGCTCTCGACCTTCTTGAGCGGGAGTTCTCACATCCATCCCCGCGACGAGTGTCCTGCGTCGTTCTTATGGACGAGCTCGATCAGCTTGTCACAAAGAATCAGTCCGTGATGTACAACTTCTTCAACTGGCCGGCGCTCCGCCACTCTCGCCTTATTGTCTTGGCTGTCGCAAACACCATGGATCTTCCAGAACGTACGCTCAGCAACAAAATCTCCAGTCGTCTGGGTCTCACCCGTATCACCTTCCCGGGATACAAGCACACTGATCTGATGGAAATCATCAGCACCCGCTTAGCCAACGTACCAGGGAATATCGTCGACGCGGACGCCATCCAATTCGCCAGTCGCAAGGTAGCCGCCGTTAGTGGTGATGCCCGACGTGCCCTGGACATCTGCCGACGCGCCGTCGAAATCGCCGAACAGGCCAGCGAAGCAGCAGCCCAAGACCCAGACACAGACAAACCCGATGCAGACGACACTGAATCCCTACCCCCAACACCCAGCAAGACCCCAGCCCGCAGAGAAAGATCCCTCAAACAATCCGCCCAGTCCTCCCCTCAAAAGAAACCACCCACCAAACCACAAACCGTCGGTCGTGTCACCATCGCCACAATCAAACAGGCCATCCACGAAGCCACATCAACTCCTCTCCAACAGTCCCTCCGCTGTCTCCCCCTCGCCGCTAAGCTCTTCCTCGCCGCCATGCTAGCCCGGGTCCGACGCACCGGTATCTCTGAATCAGCATTCGGCGACGTAATCGACGAAGCCAAACGAATCGCCGACGCGGCCGTGGCTGTGGCCGGAGCAGCAGGCGCCGGTGTCAAAGACTTCCTGCTAGCCGGAGGGACCGGCGCTCGCGTACGAGCTTTGGGCTACGCCGCAATGGAACTGACGAACTCGGGCGTCCTCGCTCTGGAATATGGAGCCGGCGCCAGGGGACCCCTAGGTAGCGCTGCCATTCCGCATCGTGGCGATCGTAGCGGAAAAGTACGACTACGTATTGCTCCAGAAGATGTCAAGATCGCTTTTCGCGAGGATGAGGAAGCCAAGGGGCTTGGGTTGGGCTTGGATCAGTGATTACCACTCACTATAGTCGGGACCATCTAGATGATACATTACTTACTGTATAAGAACAATGATACCCATATGTGTTATTAATAAAACAATACAAATACAAACACGACACAACTATACCATGAACCTTGACATCATTACACAATCTAGTGACTTCTACAAGTCAACAACAACTATAAGGACAGACACCTCAGTCTCTAAGAGATTATATGATACATTCCTTTTATGAGCCCTTCCCAGGGCCAATCTGACATCCCAAATATTTAACGCTAAACTCCTAAGTGCATACACAGCATGACATAACATCAAAGCTAGAAAAATCCCCCTTGAAGTAGCTCCCCCAACACACCAAGATAAACGAACTGAAAAAAAGACATCGGGGTATTGATGATAATGAGCAGAACCACACAAGCCACACTAACAAACTAATACCTCTGTCTCCCCAAGGTGGGGGCCCAAGTAACAGGGTGCGATTCCTCGGTGGCCTCATCATCCGGCTTCCAGATCTTAATAGTCTTGTCAGCCTCACCAGTAATAAGACGCAAACCAGTACGATCAAACGTCGAAGCCATAATACCCGCCTCAGCTTCCAGAGAACCCGGCTGAGCGACAGCATCGATGCTCTGGAACTGGTACCCGGTCTTCCAATCCCAGAAGCACATGGAGCCGTTATCACCGCCGGAGAACATGACGTTGTCTTCGTTGACGGAGAGGGTGTTGATGATAGCGTTTTGACCATCAAAGTTCTGCATGAAGTCGCCCTCGGGGCACTTCCATTGCTTAATGGAGCCGGTGCTGGCGGAGGCGAAGGTGAATTCGCGGGGGTGAGTGGCGAGAGCGCGCACACCCTTCTTGTGGTGCGTGAGCACGCCCATGGATTTACCGGCTGCGAGATCCCAGAGGCGGACGGTGGCGTCCAGGGAGCCGGAGATGATCTGCGGGTCGGCTTCCTGGCATTTGACGTCGGCGACGGTGCCCTTGTGGCCGGCGAGGACGTGGACGTTGGCGCGAGTGCGCATGTCCCAGACGCGGGCTACGCCATCACGACCACCTGTGACGAGGAGGTCGAGACGGGGGTGCAGGTCGAGGGTGTAGACGCCGCTGAGGTGGCCGTGGTAGTGACGGATGACTTTGTTGGTTTCGAGATCCCAGCACTTGACCATTTTGTCTTCACCGCAGGAGAAGAGGTACGGATGTCGGGGGGACACGGCCAAGCCGCGGACAGTGGAAATGTGACCCGTGAGAGTGAGACGGAGGGCACCTGTAGCCAGATTCCAGATCTTGATGGTCCGATCGCCTGCACCACTAGCAAACCACTCGTTGTTGGGCTCGACGGCCAAACTGCGCACCCAACCCAAGTGGCCGGAGATGACCCGCATGAGCTTCCATGGCGGGTGCCAGTCGGGTCGTTGCTGTTTCGTCGCCGAGGGACGTTGGATGAGACTCTTGGGAGCGTTTTCACCGCCGACGCCGCCGGCTGCTGGGCCGGGGGCCTTCTTGACGAGTGCCATGGACGCGCCGCTGCCGTCCACGGCGGCTTGGGCCTGTGGTTGGATCTTGGGGCGTTTGGCGCGTCCAGCGGCCACGGCTTTGGCTTGCTTTTCGGCGAGCGCTGGGGGGAGTTCCTTCACATCTTCGTATTCTGCTTTGCGCCGGTAGGACGTGGCGATGGAGCCATTGGCGACGGACGGGGTGACCATTAGGTAGTCAGAACCGAAGAGCTCGGCCGTCCGCTTGGCGGAGAGGCGCACTGCCTCGTCGGGTGTGGTAGAGGGAACGACGTCCATTGTGATGGACTGGAGGGTATTCCGACGCTCGGTATGTAGTTTGAACTGCTTGCTGCGGAGACGTGTCGTTGGCGCGTCCTGAGCCCCGAGGCGGGGTATACTGGGCTTTTAGTCGAGACCAGAGGTGTGCCTCATGCGGAGTGTATTGTGCACCGGGATGACAGGAGAAAGTGCGGCGCGAAAGTGGAATTGGTGATGATTTGAAGTGAAGGCGAAGTTGGAATCAGCGGCAGCGAAGCTCGACCTGATTTTCGGCGGGCGGCGAGCTGTTTTCTGCCTGAGGCATTACTACCATTTTCAGGTGTCGAGGCCTAGATGCCGACCCCGCCGATTAATTGATTGATGCTATTCAATCCCAAGTAATTCTGTCACATCCATCATGAATACCAGTCAGGAAGCTAAGTTTCCTCTTCACGAGGCTGCCCGGGAGGGCAAAAGTACGAGGCATTCAACCCGGACATTGTGATAAGCTCTAACCGATCTACTCCAGCTCAAATCGCCGAATCTCTCCTCAGCGTACGTACTCCAAAGCTGCCCCGCACCGCCATCAGAGAGCTCTATACAACCTTACAATCAGCTCAAAGACCGTCCGCTGATGGATTCTAGGCCAACCCCAAGCTAGCAAATGTCAAAGATGACGATGATCGCCTTCCCATCCACTGGGCGGTAGCATACAACCGTCTCCCGATCGTGGAGCTACTGATATCCAACAAGCACTTTGATCCCGATGTCGAGGTCCGTCATTGTCTCATCCTTTTGTAATATACCACACCAGAGCATCACTAATATTTTCATAGGATGGCTCCGGCTGGACACCACTCATGATTGCATCTAGCTTGAAGAACGCCGAAGGCGATCCCATCATCGATCTCCTCCTCAAGAAAGGCGCAGACGTCAGCACGAAGAGCGTCTCGGGCCAGGTACATCCCCTCCCTTCCTCCTAGGCCACCTTTTCCCTAACTTAATATCTGTGTCTACAATAGAACGCCCTCCACTTTGCAACCTCCAAAGCCAACCTCTCCACCGTCCGCACCCTCATCGCCAACAAATGCAGCGCAAGAGTAAAGGATAGACGCGGACAGCTGCCTCTGCACCGAGCAGCGGCGATTGGATCCTCGCCTATCATCAAGATCCTTCTGGAGGAGGGGAAGAGTCCCGTCAATGCGACAGATGTTGATGGGCTGACAGCTTTACATCATGCCGTGTCAGAGGGTCACGGCGATGCAGCGATTACGTTGCTCAAGGCTGGTGCGGAGGCAGATAAGAGGGATTCGAATGGCGTTTTGGCCATTGATATGGCGCCGGATAGCAAGGTTCGTCTTCTTCCTTTGTTATCATATATAAATCGAGGTGGGAGTGTGTGCTGATAGTGGTATGCGTATAGGTACGGAGCTATATCCTGCAAACAGCGGAGAGGGAGGGGATCGAGTTATAGTTTATTCAATATGTTGGATAGGAGGAACGAATGGATGGAAGATATAAAAAGGATTAATACCCGGAGTCTATCTTTGATACTCTCAGGCTCATCGAATGACTGTTTCAATATTATTTTTGTCTTAGTAATTAACGGATTCATGACATCTTTTTCAAGGCATGTCTCACATCACATCGTCTAAATCGGAGTCTAGCCCGAACGAATAAATCTATTTACAGGGCAGCAGTCACAATTCTACTACGCATAGACACCTCTCATCTCATGGTACTGTCAACCAATTCCCGATAGATCTTCTTGAGATCCGCAATATCGGCCTGAAGCTCTTCCACCTGTTCGCTCTTCTCGCCAAGCATTTCAAGCGTCGTCTGGTATCTCTGGTCAAGATCCTCTAGTCGCTTTTCAAGTTCTTGCACGCGGGCGTCGGAGGATCGCTTCTCTTCCGCCTCGCGCATCAAATCGACAATCTGCTGGCGCGCTTCATCTCGTTGTGTGGTGATTCGGGCGAGTTCGTCCTTCGATGCTGCGCGTTCGCTCTCAAGGCGACGGACCGTCGCGCTCATGCGCTCAACCAGCTGGACGGAAGGTCCCGCTCCTACAGTCGACTCGGAGATGATGTCGTTGATGCCGCGTGAATGCTGTGTCGGTGCTCCGCCATAGGCAGAAGGGGTACCGGAGCGGCTGAAGTACTCGTCAGGCTCGAAAGTGATCGATGGTGTTTCCGGAACAGCGTGGTGAGAGGAGCCATTGGTTTGCGGTGGAGAGAGCATCAGGGTCGAGTTGGGGAAAGAGTTTTGACGGATGGGAGTGCCAACTTCTGGCGAAGTTGGTAACGTCGAGGACCGACGGCTCGTGGGCCGGAAGTCTAGTGAGACAGGCTCGAGAGCACTTGGTCTTCGGCTGTAGGCAACGGGGGACTGCGTCCGTGGCTGCTGGAGCAAGGCAGGGGGCGAAATGGTCTGCTCGCGCCATTTGGTTCGCTCTTCCTCCAGTTTCTGCGACCATGTGGCATCGAGTACCTTCTTTTGTTCGACGAGATCCTTTTGAGCCAGGGCCAAGTCATCCGCCGATTTCTTGAGCTTCTGCTCTGTCTTTTGTAGTTCTTGCATGCGCTCTTCGAGCTTTCCTTCGAGGTCATGCTCGGCCTCCTTAGCACTCTCCAGGTCTTCTTCAAGTCTTTTCGCTTTAAGGTTCTGTGCACAGTTAGCCCATCTGGTATCAGTGCAACATAGAATTAGGCTGTCTTACCACTTCGCGGATCTTCCGTCGCATCTCGCCCTCCCGTCGTGCAACCTCATCGCGCTCCTTCTCGACGTTGGCCAACCGTGCCAGTAATGAGCCCTCCAAGGTCTGCCAATTCTCGCTGGCGACAGCATATTGTGTTTGGAGCGTTTCGATCTGACGCAGGAGTTTGGCTTGCGCATCACCTGTAACACCAGAAGACGCCTCTTCTGCCCGAGACCGCAAGGACTCCATCTTACTTTCCAGCGCCGACTGTTCCCCTTTTAGCTCGATCTCCAACAAACGCGCTCGCTCCTTCTCCTGCTCAATAGTTCCCTTCAGATCGCTGATCTCTCTGTTCAACTTTTCTTCACTGATTTCACGCTCGATCTTGGCGCTTGCTAGATCCTCCTCCAACTGGGTAGCGCGGCGTTTCTCCTGCTCGAGGGCCTCAGATTGAGCCTTGGCCTCTGCGGCCTCTGCCCTAGATACAGCTCGTGCGAGTTGTCCCTTCAATTCCTGTACGGTTTGGCTGAGTGCGTTACGCTCCGCTGTCGTGGCTTCCAGGTCCCGGGACACCTTCGTTTGCGCAGACAGCGAGTCATTTGCTCTCTTCTCAGCCGCCTCAGCCCGTTTGGCTCTAGTTTCTGCGTTGGCAAGATCCCGTTCCAGTTTTTCAGTCTTCTTCTTTGACTCAGTCTGGATCTTTGCGTTCTCTGCCAATTGCTGCCTCAGTTTCTTGATCGCGGTTCTGTGGTCCATTTCCGACTTGGACAGCTTCTGTCCTTCCTCGAGCAGCAGAGCGATCTTCTCGTCCTTTTCTCGGAGCTGCTTTTCGACGCTCCCTGGCTCAGCTGTGGCCGCTGCCTTCTTAGCAGATTCCGCGGCTTCCTTGGCCAGATACTTTAATTTGGACTGCAGCGCATCGATCCGTTCGATGTATCCGTACATTTCCTCCTGCCACTGAGACTCTGCAGCTCTATGATCCGCTTGTAACTGCGCAATAGATTTATCTTGGTCGCTGGAAGTTCGAGGGCTGTCCGTAGGAGTATCTGTCGTTGGCAGGGAAATCGTCGGCGCGGGAGTTTGATCGGGCTCGGGAGACGATGCGCTGGCCTTTTGTGCAATATCATGTGTCACATTAGATGCATCTGTAGAGGCAGCCTCCTCAGCATTAGCAACTTCGGTCTGCGAAACGAGGTCCTGAGAGCGGCGCGACGAGACGCCTGAGTCCTGGCTTATCCGAGGAGCCTCTGTAGCTGAAATCACTTCCTGCCGACTGGAGTTCCGAGAGTGTCTGCCTGTACTTCCATTTTGGGAATCCAGACTAGCATCAATATCCATGCTTGAGCGTCCACCGTTGCTGGGAACTGGACTGCTGACGGGGGAGGGGGCATGGCTAGAAGGCTGCGAGGAAGTATTGCCAGCGGTATTCGACTTCACCACAGCACGAGCCAGGCGTTCCTGAAGGCGATCATTCTTTCGCGCATTCGACGAACTGCGTGATATACCTAGTAACTGTTAGCAATCTGACATACTGCAACAGCCTGGATCTATCAAGAGTCTCATACTGCTCGTCTGCTCGTTTTGTTTGGGCTTTGTAGTCGCATTCTTAGCCTGAAGCTGTTTCTGGTCCTCCTCTTCGGCCAGGATCAAGTCCAGCCTGGACTCAACGCCGGCAACGGCTTGCTGCAGGAAAGAGCCCACTTTCCATTTCGGCTTGGAGCCCTGGGAACCCTGCGACATCGTTATGGCTGTGAGATTTGATGCTCCTGCAAACTAGGATGCCTAGCAGCAAGAATGCGCCAATTCAATCATGGAAAGCGAGGAGTCTGGAGGATGATGCGATTTGATGCTGGCTTGTCGTCACTCAGAGGAAGACGAGGCCGTAGTACGCGGACGCGGGGTGGGACCACAAACGAGAGACTAGCTTGGAGAAGCACGAATTCCACGGAAGTGAAAGTACAATGAGGTCAAAAGAGAGTGAGTTGTCCGACCGGAGTCGGGAGGGGCCGTTCAGTCGATACGTTGCAGCTTGCGTGGACTCCGAAGAAGCGATGAAGCGCAACCGGCTTGGCGGCCGGGGATGGAGAGACACTAGAGAGAGTGACGGCGAACGTGATTCGTATCATCATCGGGCTCCTCCCTGGCCGTTCCCCAACCTCCTCCTCCTTCACCACCTCCGCAACCCCCGTCCCTCTCCCCTCAATCCAGTTTTCTCCGTTCCGGTTGGCTCCTGAATTCCCCCTCCCTCCGGAATCACCATGTCGTCGCTACCCCTGGAGCCACCCACCTACCTCAGTTCGCTACAGAACAACATCCGAGCTCGTCCCATCCCATGGGAGGGAGCTGTCCGAGCGGGAAACATCACCGATGACCACCTGAAGAAGATTAAGGCGGTGGACAAGGTTCGCAAGGAGCAGCGGCGTCAGACTGTCGAGGGGGATCTGGCTGGTTATGTTGGTCTACTCTCTGGTGGCTCTGAAGGGAAGAGCGTGCTGGACTCCGCCTCCAGGAGAACCGATATTGTGCAATACATCCTCGTGCTGGCCGCGGATTTGATTAACGGTATGGGCACCTCCTCCGTGGTCGAATTGCGATAGTGACGATGGAATGCTGATCAGCCTAACTCTCTAGATGTCCCCTCCCTATCGACCGCCCTGGTCGCGCATCCCGACCCTTACAAGCCATTCCTTCCCCTCTTGCGTCACTCCACCAACCCCGAAGACCCGATCCCTCTGCTCACCTCCACCTTCTTGACCAACCTTGTCTCCGTCAGCCTGAGCTCGTCTTCCAAGCCAGCTGCGCGCGATGATGAAGCGCTGCCGCAGCTGTACACCTATCTCTCTACCCTGACCCAGAACCAAGACAGCGGGCTGCAGGATATCGGGGTCCAGGAGCTGTCGGCATTGCTACGAACCTCTAGGTCTCGTGAGATCTTTTGGAAGCAGAGACAGCAGACCGTCGAGCCGTTGGTCGAGATCCTGCGTGCAGCCACGGGTGCTAAGGATAGCAGTTCCAGCACCTTGGCTGGCAGCTCGCGCGCGATCGAGCCCGGTCTTGCCGGTGGGGTCGGTCTCCAGCTGTTGTACCGGGTCTTGCTTGTTCTCTGGCAGCTCAGTTTTGAAGGGGAGTTGATTGGTGATGATCTGCAAGCGTATGTGACATGAAAAGCAACGGGTGTAAGATGGAATGAGGCTGACGATGAATATAGGGACTACGAGTTTGTCCAGCTGTACACGCACCTCCTGCGCCTTTCCCCGAAGGAGAAGACCACCCGACTCCTCCTTGCAACCCTCAACAACCTCCTGTCTAGTAACCGCACCACCCTGCTCCCGGTCGCAGTTTTTGTCCGCCTTCCTGCCCTCCTTACGAACCTCGCCGGTCGCCATCTGACCGACCCCGATCTGCTGGAGGACCTCACATTCCTGTCCGAAATGCTGGATGAGTACACCAAGACACAGACGACGTTCGATCAGTACGCAGCTGAGCTGCAATCTGGCCATCTTCGGTGGTCCCCGCCCCACCGCAACCCTACCTTCTGGAAGGACAATGCCCGTCGCATCCTCGACGAGAACAACGGTGCACTTCCCAAGAAGCTGTCCGAAATCATCTCCAAGAGCTGGGATAACGACAAGCAGGTGCTGGCGATTGCCTGTAACGATGTGGGTCACCTGGTGAAGGAACTGCCCGAACGGCGGGCACAGCTGGAAAAACTGGGTCTGAAGACTCGTGTCATGGAGCTGATGACGGACAAGGACGAGTCGGTGCGGTGGGAGAGCTTGCGGGCGGTGGGCGAGTGGCTGCGCTACACGTTCGATGACTAGAGTTCAACGGAGGAGAGTGACGTGATGTGATATATTACCCGGTGCTTGTTTGATCTGCTTCTGTCTGGCCGAGCATAGACCTGCTCTGGCTGTATTGTATGGATTCTCAGCGTAAATCATTTTCAAATGCCATTGCCGTGTGCACATAGCCAACAAAATCGAATCCGATAAGGTTTCCGCTCGGAAGCACGCAAGCCATGCATAGCCCGCCCCCTCGTGGCGACGATCAGTGTGACCTAAAAAGATAAGTCTGGAGGCAATGCCTGGGAAAGAATTAGAGTACTGTGTCATGCACTTTCTGATCTGAGACATCAAAATCCGATCCACGCAGAGTGCCCAACGGCTGTTCTGAGCACGACGATTGGCAGCAGCGGTGGATCGATGATCGGCCGCTATACAGAAAGCCGCGGGTCCCGCTTGGGTTCGCCTTATCTCATCGGTCTCAACTTTTAGTTTCTCGCACTGACCGTTAAGACTTTCAACGGGCTCGTGGCGCACCTGCGGCTTGGGATTCATCTCCAGCTCCTCATCTCCGCACGGAACCCAACTGCAGTCATCGACTTGGTGACACCTAGCCCCCTCCTTGTCACTCTTATCAGCTGCGGAGAAGTAACCAGCGGACGAACACCCCTGAGCCGGGGAAGAGCCGAAGACTCCGCGGAGGGAAAAAAGTAATCAGCAACATTTTCTGCGATCCCCTCATCCCCGCCAACTCCATGTCTCGATCCTTCAACGGGTGCAAACGATGTAAAGCCCGGCGGCAGAAATGCGACGAGCAGCGTCCCAGTTGTGGTCGCTGCATGTCGGCCGGCACGCAATGTCGATATGCGATGCAGCTGCAGTGGGGGGGCCGAGCCTTTTCGCGCTCAAGGTTTGGGGCCTGCGTGGGAACGGGAGGCATGCAAAAACTAGGTGGGTGAATGCCATGTAGCCTGTTGTATACCGAGATATACTGGTCTAACTTTACTACTCGCAATCAGAGTACTCCCCGGGCGAATTCATCTACACCACCAAAGCTGCGGCTGCTCTTTCTCCGGGCACAATAGCAACATCTCCTTCTACCCAACCGACGAACACCACCTTAGTCCGCCATATTGATCCGTTCGCCTCCCTCTCTACCGATCAGAAATCCCTCCTACACCACTTCCTCAATGATGCCTCTCAGATCACGGCTTGTCATTCCGGCATGCAGCGCGATATCTGCAAGATGCTCGTCCCTATGGCCCTTCAGACCCCGTCCCTCCTCTACGCAACCATGGCCCTCTCCGCTATCCACCTCCAAGCCCTCCACAACCAATCTGAGAACGTCAAATCCGCACCCGAAATCGCACGCTTCATGGCCCTCAGTTTAGAACATTTCAGAACGGAACTACAGAACCCTGCGAGCAGGGGATCGGATGCGCTGCTCGCAACCGCCCGGACCCTCTGCCTCGCCGAGATTCATTCCGGCGCAATTCACCCCAATTCCTGGCGCGCACATATTGAAGGTGCCCGGGCTCTGATGGAGGCCTCGGATCAGAGCGGGGCGCTGTCGCCCAAGTCTCCAGAGGGGTTCAGACGGTATCTAGATAGATGGTATCGGTCAATTGTGTCGCTGACAGCGTTGACGGGGAATGGGCCGCCCATAGGTGAAGCTACGGATCAGCTGGTCTCCATTGGACCAAACCAGTCGGCCTCGCCGGATTACTTGGATGATTACTGGGGTTTTACGGTAAACTTGGCCACAATCTTCCGGAGGATTGGGGCTGTCGCGTGGCGGGAACATCAGAGTCGGGGCCAGGAAGGTGATGAGAGTTCTGTCCAAGGGAATGAGATCAGCGTACACAACGAAGCTGCAGCGCTGGAGTCGTCGCTCCGCCATCTCATGGAACAAGAAGTGGCTTCGCACCCCGCATTCTACCCTGGCGTCGTGGAGGGTCTTTCTGCGGAATGTATCCAACAGCTCATGCTCTGTAACGAGGCCTTCCAACTCAGTGCTCTCATTCAGATCCATCGTCGACTGCGAAAGACACCAGCGTCTGCACCGGTGGTGCAGGAGTCGGTTAAGAGGATCCTCGAATGCACGGCTCAAATCGGGCCGTCTCCGGGACTGAGTCCGTGGGTAATGCTGACTACCCCGCTATTCATCGCTGGGTGTGAGGCGCGCGGAGAAGACCGTGAGCAAGTGCGACGGCTACTGTCCTCGCTGCACGATACCATTCGTGTACCAAATGTGTTGCAGTCTTTGAAGTTCCTGGAGCAGTATTGGGCGAATCAATTAGATGAGAACGAGGGGTGGAGTCAATATCTCGGTATGTATAATGCGTCTGTTAAGAAAGAAGATAATACTAACACGATGTTCAGATCGGATGAGATTTGATTTTATCCCGTACTAAACTCGAGGCGATATCCTGAATGATGATATGTTTATGTGTGTTTATGCGAGCGTCGGTCTGACTGGATATTATATGGTCTGCAATGTTATACATTCTGAGAACAGCTGAAAAGCGTTACGAGCCAGGAGCAATGAGCTTTTTACGTGAACATGGCGTTGGTTGATTGATTGGAGTTATGTTTAGCGATGAGTTGGGGCGTCGATACTTAGGTTGCTGGATATATGCAGAAACACCGAGTTGCGTGAATTTCCAACAGTACTCACTAGCCATGTATGAGACTTCCAGTGGATATATCCAGTATACCAATGTATCAAATAAACGATGCTACTTCCAGTAGTAGAAGTAGTGACTACGGAGATGAAACCGAACCGAACCCCTAATATACACCACCCAACCACCCGAAACTACGTACTAGTAGACTACGCAGCAATTGAATAACTACTTAACAAACACTACTACATAACTGCATTATGACTCCCAAAATAGAACGGGAACACCTGCAGCTATCTACATATTTGCTTATTTCCTGCGGCACTACTGTACGTTTGACACCCACTGAACCAAGGAACGAGAAGAGAGCGAAGAAAAAAGGGTCTACATACGCGAGTAGTAAGGGGGCCGGGGGGGCTAACACTAACTGAATCCACCCCTGCAGCCCTGTATTATCTATCCTTCCTTAGCCCTTTCAGTTTGTAGGCCATGAAGTGTACGGAGTAGACTAAGACATAAAGCGCATGGGATGGCGCCACTTGAGTAACGACGAGGAGGGATAAATATAGAAGCAGAAGAAGGAGAATTTAGTTCGTGGATTATGTAGTTATTTTCCATTGTTCTGTTTGCTTTCGGATTGATGGTTGATGGTGGTGGTGTCAATCACAAAGAGAGTTGTGTTGGGCTTAGAGTTTGGGAAGAAGTAGGTTTCGGCCCCTTGCTGATGTAGTAGGTGGTTCATTATTATACATTTTTCTTTTTAAGTATTCTCAAGATTGAGAAATTGAGAAGAATACAACGTTTGACAGAAAGATAGAAGGGGAGATAAGTAGAGATGGAATGGAAATAATTTTTATTAATGTCTCATTAGTAAATATATTTATGATAGATAGTGGCTAGACTACACTCCGTACTACTAATGTGAATGTCTCTCTCGGAGAAGAATACCCAGAGAAGATGGGATAGACAAAGGGAACACGTACTGGACCTTTACTACTTGAGTGGTTGCTGTAGGATAATAGAACCACTTAATTTATATACTAGACACGGCAGAACTTATCAATTTAGTAAGTACGTAGTAGACCCGTTAGTACTAGTCAGGATGATCCATAATAATAAACCCCCAGGGTTATCCGTGGTCAGACCATCTCCTATCACGTTTAGTGCTATAGTGGTAGAGAATAAGTAATAAATAGTAGCCAGATAATAATACTACTGTATAGTAAACCTACACTATTGCAGCCAACCGTCGACGATCGAAGGTCTAGAATAAGCCTCAATAGTATCTATCGGTTGACAGTCGTTTCACGTCGCAAGATATATTTAGTAATTGGATTCTGGACTGGTCGTGTGTCAGTTTCTAACTGATGCAGGAGAGAAGGAAAATGTTGGTTCGGGACGGAGAACCGCGGCGGTTAGTTAGTAGTTTGTAACATTCCATCCAAGCGAGTCAAGCCAAGCGCTTAGAACTCTTAGTACATAGCAGCCCCATTGCCATGGCCCCCCTAAGGCTATACAGTGCAGACGGGAGTCTCACTTTTCTACCACGGTTCAGGTCTCAAACCCAATCACATCGCCAGTCATCACATGCAGGAGATCCGCAAAAGTGGAGATCAGTGCACTGGAAGTGTGACGATGTCTCCGTCTGCAAGCTGCATTCTGCATTGACACTCTCCTGAATGTACAGTAGGTGACGACTACTCTGTACTCTACTGTCGTATGTGCAGTAAATAGGTGGTTAGGAGTGGAACTAGTTCGGGTCATAACTGCTCGGGTGCAGAACGCACCGGCCACTAGTCTAGTTAGTAGTAGTAAGTAGAGTAAGAGATTTTCTCTCTCTCTCGGGACTCGGGAGAGGGAGAGGTTGGGGCCAGCCGATATGCTGACTATAGGGCCACATTATTTCTGTTTAATTTGGTTGTGCTATTTTCAGTATACAAGCCTCCTTGTTGGTGAAACAAAAGATGACAGCATATCTTTGGGGGTCTGAAAATGGATCTCTGGTTTCTTTGACCTTGATGTTTGGTTGTGGTTGATGCTGCAACCATGGTTTGGGTGGTGTATGGAAAGTCAGTCAGTCAGTAACTTGTGTCTCTAGACTACCCCTGACTAGAACTGCGGTCTTCCGACTACCGCGATATCGAGTGGGGCTGGACTCCGATCGGCCGTCTGGACTGGAGGCGAGCTGGTCTCGGGATGGCAGAGATAGCAGGAAGATGAAGAAAACTGGCGTAAAGAAATATGAGAGGAGCTGTAGGAATGTTGAGTCCAGCCTGATGAGTATTGACTAGCAACAATGGCCCTCTGGGCAGTGAGAAAAGTTGGGTGTTGACAACCAACTATCTACCAACTAAAGACCCAGCGGATTATTATTATTATTATTATGGGTTCCTGTAACTGAGTAGAGCAAATCCCCACCAATTCGGGAATTAGTTTTGTCGGCGCCAATCAGCAATTGGCTTGAAGCTCAGGTCAATCTCACGATCCTCTCTCTCCGAAGTCTTTCTTCCTCTCTCTCTCACTCTCCGCCCCTTTCAATCCGCCCTCCTTTTTTCTCCCCTTCGCCCTTCTCGCCCGATTTTCCCTCTAAACCAACTGGAACTAACCCATTCAGAAACTGACTGCGTGTAATCCATGTGCGCATGTCTGCTTTTGTGATGGACTGATTGATCCAGCTAGATTGGGATTGTCTGAACTTTACCTATTGACTATCTACTTGCTCACCCGTCCAATGGGTCCGTTCCATCCACTATTCCCCTGAACGTCTTGTCAAACCTGCCTTTCCATCGATTATTGCCCCGTGCCAAACTAAACGCCTCCTGCCCTCGTCACCATGAGGGTGCGTCAATCCTGAACTCATTGACCAACGATTGTTTCTGATCTTCCCTCCTCTCTGTCTCCCCCCCCTTCCCGTCTTTGCCTGTTCTTGTCAATTGTCCCGGGTTTGGCGCTCAACCTTGCCAATTAGAGTGTCTTCTCCCTCATGGCCCCAGGCTGGACTTCTCCGCCTGCCTCGGGCGCTTTATCCTCAAGCCCAAACCATAATCATCTCCATTCCTTGTCCCAGACTTATCATCAGTCTCCATTCCCTGTGTCTGATGACCCCGGCGCTTGGCCAAGTCCTCCTCGTCCTCCCTCCTCTGCTTCCTCCACCTCCGCTGCCGCTGCTGGTCCTGTCACCTCTCCTTCTTCCCATTTGCCGCCCTCTAATACCTCTCTGGCCTCTCCCCCTCCTTCTGCTACCCTTGTGCGCAGGAAACCGCTTCCCCAGGATGCTGTGATCCTGTCGCGCCAATCCAGGCCTCCTTCCTCGCCCCTGCTACCCTCCTCCCCCCGGGGTGACTCGCCTGCAGATCCGCTATCACTCCCTGTCTCTTCTTCTCCTCTCGCTGCTGACCATCATCATAACTTGGCCTTCTCCCCTGCATCCACCTACTCCTTCTCCGGTTCTGTGTATGAAGTTGACGGCCAGGAGGACGAGGACTCCCTTCATTCGGTTCCAAGGAACCTGGACAGGTATGACAGCCGTTGCCCCCCTGCCCGTGCTCTCTTCCCCTCACCTTCTCCCCCTGCTCCCCCTCACTCTTGTGCTTGCGGTCCTTGCAATCTCACGCTACTTCTGCAGCCTGGAGAAGGCCTTTCCATGTCCACTTTTCCCTTCAGACGTGGCAAGACTAATCTCGGACCTTTTCTACTCTTCTCCAGATCTCCTCGTGGTGGTCCGTCCGCGTCCCATCTACGTATAGATACCTCCGCAGCCTACGTTGACGACGACGACGAGAGCAGCAACAATCATACCCACAATCCCAGATACTCCTCTCAATTCTCGAATGGGACGTCCTTACACAGCCGTCTTGTGAGCGAGCCCTTCGTGCCCATCCTGAAATCACCGGCTTTCCTCCCCAAGCGCCCCACGACCATGGCCTTGAATTTACCCTCACGCCGTCCTCCACCTCTACATATAGATTCCCCCAGCCGGTCCTCATCCGGTGACTCCAAACAGCCGAAAACGCCGGCGAACAAGATCAGTTCCTTTTTTGGGTGGCGCGCTACAACCTCTTCCCCCGGCGCGGAATCCTCTAGTACCGAGATCTCCGAGTCCGGTCGTTCTCCGGTGCCTTCCCCAATGCCTGCTTCCCTCCACAGCGCATCCTTCTCCATAACACCCTCCACCACGGTGCCCTTCGACCCCTCCAAGCCGCAAGTGCCTCTCCCGCAGCGGAATCCATCTCTGAGCAGTGGCAGTATCCTGGACTCCAGGGCGACGACTCTGGTGACCGAGCTTGAGAATGAGCTGCGGGAGATCAGTTCCGAGCTGGCCGGGTCCATCCGGCGGGAGATGGAGTTGGAGGATTTGGTGGAGAGATTGCAGTCAGATATGCCCTTAGATACCCCCAATCGCCGGACTAGCGATTACTTCTCCGATTCGGGCAGCAGCTCCATCCGCTACGCCTTTGAGTCGGGTGGTCGGGTCGAAGACATTGAGAAGTACAAGCGCACTGCAGAGCAGGAGCGGGCTCAGATCAAGGTGGATCTGGGCCAAAAGTTGCAAGAAGAGCGTAGTCGCCGGGCAGCCTCGGAAGCACACGTCCAGATTCTAGAGTCCCAGGTCCAGCAGGTACGACTTTCCATCAGCTGAGAGAACGATAGTCCCAGACTAACATATTTTAGCTGCGACGGGAGAGAGTAGATCTCTCGGACCTGTCCTCCCGGACAAGGGAGCTCGAAGCCGCATTAGATGATACCCGTAGGAAGCTGGCCGAGGAGCGCCAGATCAAGGACAATTTCGAAGACCTGTTGACCGCCATGCGAGTAGAACTCGAACAGTTGCGAAACGAACGGGATCATATGCGTGACACTGTGATCCCTCAACTGCAACAAGGTGGTCAACCTGCCGCGCCTTCATCTGATCCCTCGGAAGTCCAGCGGTTGCTGGAGGAAATCGAAGCGTTGAAGATTGAAAATGCCTCTCTCGCCCAGCTGCAGGGCAGTCGATTCGCTTCAATTGCCGAAGAAGATGGCATGCCCACTGCCCGAAATGTCGGATTGGGACTGTCGCGGTCGAATTCGCTGGCGCGCGTGCGTACCAAGCCGTCGCCCGGTCTATCCCGCTCCAGTTCCCTGTCGCGGTCGAACTCGGTTTCTGCCAAGGAGCGCAATGAGTCTCCCCGCGAGAATCTGGCGGATAGGATTGAGGATGTCGAAGCGCAACGCGATGCTCTTCACCAATCTCTTCGGCGTCTGCTCGATCGTCAGGCCCACGATGCCCGTGAATACGAGAAACGGCTTCGGCTCATGGAGATGGAGATTGCGCGCGCACAGCAAGTGGGCTCTCCGCGCAAGCTGGGCTATGAGCGCGAAGTGCGCAACTTGCGCGAAGAAGTGAATGACCTTCGGCAGCGTGCCGAGGAAGCTCTGGAACAAAAGTGGCAGTGCGAAAAAGGATTGGCAGGTCTGAAGATGGACCTGGACCGGGCTGAACAGGAAACCACCTCCTTGCGTGTAATACTCCAGGAGCACGACATCACCGTTCCCGAAGACCTCGAATGTGATCGGGATGGATTTGCCGAGGTCCTCGCAACCTCTTCCTCCCTGGAGTCCGCTTACAGACAACTTCAGGCGGATCGGGAAATCGCCGAAGCCAGCGCGGCTCAGTCGCCCCTTGCCGAGCAAAACTCACTCGTGGAGTCGGTCAACCGCACAGACGTGCTCGCGCAGCATGTGCAACAGCAGCTGGCCAGCAACAATGCCCTGCGGAGCCGTTTGGCGGAGGCCATTGGCAAGGGTGAAAAGGAGCAACAGCTGTCAGCCGCTCGTATCAATGAGATGCAGGCCCGTCTCAAGGAGATGGAGGACATCTTGCTGATGGCGCAGCAGTACTCCGAGGACGAAATGGCGCGCCACGAAGAAGAAGTGCGCGCTCTTGAGGAGAACCACAACGCGCAGCTGAAGCGCATGAAGAATGGCGCTCGCAGCCCTGCGGCCCTGTCGCCCATGCCTCCGACCACGCCGTTTGGCGCGCGGTCGCCACGTCTGGACTTGACAACCAGTGGTAGGGGCATTGCTTTGGATCAGGCTATCCAATCTGAAACGCTGGAACGGCGGGTGAAGGAGCTGGAGAAGCTCCTTCGCGACGCTGATTCGGAGATGGAGGAAGTTGTGAGCCGGATGAACCGGGCGCAAATCGAAGTTGCGGAGCTCCAGTCTGATCGGTATGTAATTAGAAACGTGTTTATGTCAAGATAATGGCTAACAAACTGCAACAGCGACGATGCACTCCGCCAGACCCGCAAACTCCAGGCCGAAATCATGGCCCAACGTGAGACGTTCAGGACTCTGATGGCTTGAACGACAGCATATTAGACTTTTTCTTGTTTCTTCGTTGTATAAAATAATCCCATGGGAGGTGTTTTGGCGTCGACACTCTAGCGTGTGACATGTTTTGGAAGCACCTCTTTGTTTTGGTCGAGGTGCAGCGCATACTCCAATGCTTGTATATGGTCAACTTGGAGTCCATGGCCAGATGGGCATGTATATATCTCACGATCACGACGTGATCATGTATAATTGCATAGATGTACAGTTGTCAACTGAGTATACTGAGATGAGAAAAATTCTAGCAGAGTAAAATAAGAATGTGCAAGGAAGGAAGAGAAAGTTGACTTGTCGCATGCCTGCGAGTTCCGTTGATATCACGGGATCCACCCCCGGACTGGCTGCGGTGTTTGCCTGGTTTGGCTTTGCGCTCAGCCGCTCATTGGTCCGCGCATCGCCGCATTGTCTTTGGCGCATCTGGCCGAGGGAAAGTCCCGGTCTCTCCTTCATCCATCATCTACTCTTCCAAACTCCTTTATTTTGGCTTCCTCAGATCGACCATGATACTTTCCACCTTATAGTCACCTCTGTATATAGCACAAGGTTCTTTCCTGCAACCTTATCCACCTCAGATTACCCGGCCACAAACCTTCAGTGTCCAGTCTTCCAAGGCATAAAAAGAGAGTGGCCACCTCGCCTGCCTCCATACTCTCTCTTCTTCCTACCAGTCTAGAGATCTGGTTGACTGAGCTCCATCAATCACAATGGACTTTCTCCCAGGTAACACCTCAAACGCAACTAACACCTCCTACAACTACCCCATGAACACCCCCATCAACACCACCAACATCATCACACCAATCACTCCAAACAATAATACTAATCTCCCACCCACAGACTCCCTCCTCTCTCTAATCCAACAACATCCAACCTTTCAAACCCTCACCTCCACCCCCATCGCCTCCCACCTCGCCTCCCTCCATACAACCTACCTGACCCCCTACATCTCCCACTGCCGCACCGCCTATCTCGACCCCTACCTCATCCACCCGCTCGCCTCGCTCCTCACCTCCTCCATGCCCATGCCCGACCTTGTCTCCATCTTCATCCTCGCCCTGGTCCTCATCATCTCCCTCAAGATCCTCGACTATGCTCGCCGTCTCGTCATGTTCTGGGTCAATCTGGCCCTGAGGTTGCTGTGGTGGGCGCTTGTGCTGGCTGCCTTGTGGTATGTGTACTCGGTGGGGATTGAGAAAACGGGCAGGGATCTGGGGTGGATGGTTGGGCTTGTCGGAGGGTTTGTCGATGGGTTCAGGGATGGGGTTGAGGGCGGGAGGGCTGTTACGGGGTCTGGCTCTGGGATGGGGTCCGGGGGGTATGTTACAGGGTTGGGAGGGGCGGGGAGGTATTAGGAAGTTATGATATAGTATTGGAGTTGAGAGGGGAAGTCATTGGGGATATAGATACTTGGTTGAGTTGGGAAACTGGTAATAATCATGGGGTTTTATGGTGAAGGTAGGATGGGATTGCCATTGGAAGATGTGAAGGAATGACACCGAGGTCGAGCCCGGTCCGAGACCGGCCTGGACTGAGCTACGATTAAACGAAGTGCATGCTGCATGGATACATGGCTGGTTTTGGTTCGATTGAATTGAATGTGACATGAATTGAGTTTTAGTTGCCTTGAATTGAGCGGTGAGGTATAGATATGTGTGCTATGGTATGCTAAGCCATGTACACTGCAAGGATTGAAAGGGATATCATTTCAATTGCTGATGATAAGATAAGACAGAAGAAACAACTCATATTGCCACTATCTATCTTTATTATCATTACTACTTCTGCAGTTGAGAAGCTGTTTACGGAGCTACCGAGTGACACAAGAGCAGAAAGGGTGCAGGTGCAGATGCATACTTGGCTATTATGATATGACATTATCATTGGTTCGGTTTTAGAGACATCTTATTTATAGATACTATGTAGTAAGGAGTCAAGTAGATACTGAGTAAGTACTTGGCTTTTCCTTCCTTCAGCTCACATTCCTGTTTCAGGCCGGTCGGTCGGTCGGTCGGACAATTAAGTAATTCCCGTCGGTTTTTAAATCGTATCCGGATACGAGCACTGCATCTAGCCGCCATTATTTTGGCCCCCATACCAGGTGGGTAGATGCTTATGGCAGAACAGCGACGGGCGGGTTGGTCGGTATTGTTGTTGTTGTTGTTGTTGTTGTTGTTGTTGTTGTTGTTGTTGTTGTTGCTGGTGACTCAGCAAGGCAGCGCGTGTAACAGCAGCCAGGTACGCACAAGTTACCTAGTAAGTAACAACAGCAACAGCTCTATATAACTCGATGGGGTAGTAAAGTAGGATGCGCTAGCGCATGCGCCCCCAGAATCCTGATGCGATGGCGTAATCACGGCGCGCGCCGGCGGCAGCGGCAGCGCCAACAACGGCTTACAGCATCTCACTCAGCTCAGTCTTCGTAATCGACCTCCTGGGCATCGGAAGGCTCGCGGGGTTCCTGAGCCTCATGGTACTGAATAGCATCGTCAATATGGCTCAGCACCGCGGCAACACTATCCTCATCCTGCACGTCCAGCTTGAGGAACGAGACCATGCTGAAATCATCGATGAGTTGGCCGACCGCGCGGTTTAATTGCTGGAAAGATCCTCCGCTCAGCATTGTGTCCTTGGACGATGGGTCTCCAGTGGCCACTGGGGATGTCTCCTCGTCACCCGCCGTGCCCAGCAGGTTATTCACATCCACGTTAGTAAACTGCTTCAGTTCCTTGCGCGAGACCATATCCTTGACCTGGTCCATCTTGCTCAGGATATTGACGTGCGGCATCTCCAGCATCAACATGGCCGACATGGCACTCAGTGTGCCGGCAAAGAACTTGGCCTTGTCCACGACGAACGTGCTCTCGAGCAGATACGCCGCGCAGAGACTGATGTTTAGCGGGCCCTGCCGGGATAGGAACTGCACCAGGGAAGGGAGCAGCGGGATGTGTGTGTAGAGCTCGATCTGGCCTGGCATGTCGAAGATGATGAGGTATTCTTCGCTGAGGGGATCGAGGGCTTCAGAGAGGAATTCGAGGTTCTGAAGGAGGAACTCAAAGCAGTAGATGAGCCCGCCGTTGGGACCTAGCCCCAGCTCTTCCATCACATCTTCGAGGGTGATGAGCTCGCGGATGTCGAGGTCCGGCTCGTAGTTGAAGGTTTCGGCCGCGGGGTCTAGGTTCACGTAGAAACAACTGCGGCGCGTGTTTTGAAGATGTTGGATGATGGAGCTGCAGAAGGTGGTTTTGCCCGCGCCGGCGGGGCCCATTACTAGGACGCCGTATTTGGACATGCTGACGGCGTCACTTTGGGTTGGTGGGTGCTAACGCTGGTGGTGGAGGAAGAGGAAAGGTAGAGTAGGTACGGCGCGGGGTCGATTGCTGACAAGGAGGGGAGGGGCTAGTTGCTACTAGGTTCGGAGTTGCAGAAAACCCAAGGAAATTCACGCAATTCTCCCGTAAGCGAGCCAGAATCCGAAGGGTGAACTGAATCAGATGTGGATGGAGTCAAGGTGGGAAGAGGGAGGAGCTTTCGGTAGTTCGCAGAGTAATTCAGCCCCGAATTTGCAGGCAGATTGAAATTGAAGAAAGTCCGAAGGCCCGTCGTCTAATGAAAGAGACGCCGATTGGCTGACAGCACAATAGAGGGGTGATCTTTCGGTTGGCAAATCAAAATCCGCCGCCGATGCATGTTTTTCCTTTGGGTCTTTTTTTTTCCTCCTCAATTCTTTTCTTACTTTTTTCTGCCTAGTCCGACCGCCGGAAGAGATGGCGCCATCGGAGACACATTAATACGAGATTCCCCTCTCTGCCTCCTTCTTTTCTCTTCTTTCCCCTCCTCCCTTTTCCCTCTCCCTCCCATTTTCTTACATTTCTCGCTTCTTTAATATCTACTCTATTTTTCCCCTCCCTAATCTTCCTCTTCTTCTCTCCCCTTCACCTCTCTCCTTTCTTCATTCCTCCATATCTATACACATTCCCCCCCTCCACTCTTCACAATGGGTAGCGTCGCCAACGGTTCTACTTTCCTCTTCACCTCCGAGTCCGTCGGAGAGGGTCACCCCGATAAGATTGCGTATGTCGAGCCTCAATTCCAGCTGGCGCACACGTTTCATGTCTTACTGACAATATTTCCACAGTGACCAGGTCTCCGATGCCATCCTCGATGCCTGCCTTGCTGAGGACCCTCTCTCTAAGGTACGGACCCTCATCGGTTCTATATGAACCGGATTTTTCTTGCGCACCCCTTGGCCCCTTGATTGGCCGGCGCTTTTCCGATTCGGCCTGTCCACCTTGCATGTGAATGTCTTGAGTTAACATGTTACCGTTAGGTCGCTTGTGAGACCGCTACCAAGACTGGTAAGTTTTTTTTTTTTTTCCCTCCCCGCCCCACCCATCTAATCTTATCAGGACAGTGCGCTGACCCACGTTCCAGGTATGGTGATGGTCTTCGGTGAAATCACCACCCAAGCCAAGCTTGACTACCAGAAGGTCATCCGTGGTGCCATCCAGGACATCGGCTACGATGCCTCCGAGAAGGGTTTCGACTACAAGACCTGCAACGTCTTGGTTGCCATTGAGCAGCAGTCGCCCGATATCGCCCAGGGTCTGCACTACGAGGAGGCCCTTGAGAAGCTCGGTGCTGGTGACCAGGGTATCATGTTCGGTTATGCCACCGATGAGACCCCTGAGCTCCTCCCCCTCACCGTCGTCCTCTCTCACAAGCTCAACAAGGCCATGACTGATGCCCGCAAGAACGGCACCATCCCTTGGCTCCGCCCCGACACCAAGACCCAGGTCACCATCGAGTACGCCCACGACAACGGTGCTGTCAAGCCCCTCCGCGTGGACACCATTGTCATCTCCGCCCAGCACAGTGACGATGTCACCACTGAGGAGCTCCGCAAGGTCCTGAAGGAGCAGATCATCAAGTCGGTCATCCCTGCCAACCTCCTGGACGACCGCACCGTCTACCACCTCCAGCCCTCCGGCCGCTTCGTCATCGGTGGTCCCCAGGGTGACGCCGGTCTCACTGGCCGTAAGATCATCGTCGACACCTACGGTGGTTGGGGTGCTCACGGTGGTGGTGCTTTCTCCGGTAAGGACTACTCCAAGGTCGACCGCTCGGCTGCCTACGTTGCTCGTTGGATCGCCAAGTCCCTCATCAACGCTGGCCTTGCCCGCCGTGCCCTGGTCCAGCTCTCCTACGCCATTGGTGTTGCTGAGCCCCTGTCCATCTTCGTTGAGACCTACGGCACCTCCTCCAAGACCTCCGATGAGCTCGTCCAGATCATCCGCAACAACTTCGACCTCCGTCCCGGTGTCATTGTCAAGGAGCTGGATCTGGCCAAGCCCATCTACTTCAAGACCGCCAAGAACGGTCACTTCACCAACCAGGAATTCTCCTGGGAGAAGCCCAAGGCCCTCAAGTTCTAAGCGAGTCGTTCGCAATGACTGTGGACCTGCTTCTCTTCTGAGTCTGTTACCTTTACGAATGTGATGATTTTGCTTTGTTTTCAACAACTCAAAGCACGAGCATAGACATGTCAAAAAAGCAACTTTTATGTTTGGATGTTTGTTCAACTTTTTGCATGGTCTCTCGGCAAGAGACGGGTTCGGCGAGGATAAATTCAACATGATACCACTTTTTCATATACCTTGGGAGGGTTGTTTCGGCGTTTTCGGGAGCGAAAGTCTTCAACACTACCTCCTCCGGGCTTAGGACCGATAGGAACTTCGAGTCTTATCTGCGGGGGATGCGTGCCATCCGGCGTGGTGGTGCGTGTCCCTGACGCACTGGGGTTCGAATGATGGCTCCGATAGGAGTGATATAGATGGCTTGAGAGTGACATCTCGCCATACTGCTAATCTAAACATTAGCACATAGATTAATGAATGCATATGCATGGAGTAGCCTTGTGCCTTGTAACTAGATCGTAGAAAATGTAGTTGGACAAGTGGAGCGATCTGTAGTCAATCTAGCCATGGCTGTTCCGCGGTCTCTGTCCGACTTAGGGTTAAGAGCATACGAGTCTTATCGCGGTCGCAAGATCGGAAATGCTCCATACACCCTGATCAATAGACAATTTTCCGTTGGACTTATCTATACTATCCAAATCATCTGAATCTTCAATCTCACAGATTCAGTGGTCTGCGAATCCCCGTGGGTGATGCCGCCCTTAACAAAATCTGCTATACTCGGCAACCCCTCCGCCGCGACGCGTGCCGCCCAGTTCTCCGCCGACGTGACTCGCGTCACCCACCGCCCCAGGGAGTGAAGGCCTCGACTTACCGCAACCACCACTACTACTGATCGAGGATACTCCATTAAAAAGACCCATTGCACATACAAGATAATCACTCAGCATATTCTCCATACCGACCGGTCGATTCACGAAATGCAGCACTCATAATACATACTTAGACAAGCCAATCTACACGTTCACATACACACACATCCGCCATCCATGGCAACTACCACCACCACCGCAGCAACATCTCCTCCCAGCAGCAATATCCTCGCTCCAATCCCTCTCAATCTCGTCCCGAACCATACCACAAGTACCTCGTTATCAGCTGCCCCCCTTCACAACCATCCATACAAGAAGCGCAAGGTCTCGCATTCCGAGAATCTCGGTGTCCATAATGACGTCTTTGCTGTTTCTGAGGAGCCGCAGACGATAAGTATTCGTGTATGTATATCCTTTTCGTCATATTGTACATGTAGACAGAGTTGCTAATTCACCACTAATAACCAGTCCCAATCCGCATCCCTCTCCGAAGACCATGACCCCTACCACCACCTCACGCCCATCACCACTCTCTCCCGCAATGCTATTCCCTTCTCATGGATAGACTTCGAACCGCGCGAGCATAAGGTTCAGAATGCAGGCCTCCAGGGATGGTGCAATATATTCGTCGGGGATATACCTGTCCTTGAAAACGAACATGCGGGGGATACTGTCCTAGCGGTGCGGGTTGTCGGGGAGGCTGGGGTGTGGATGGTTGAGCGCGTAAAGAGGGGCGTTTATGCGTTGATGAGGTTGCGGGGTGTAGGTGAGGGGGAGGTGGTTGTTGCGGCGAAGGCGAGTGCTGGTTCGGCCTTTCCGTTCTCGTTCTCGTCTGGGATGGAACAGCGAAGAGGGAGGAAAGATGTCGGAGAGTGGTGGGAGGTCGCGAGGATTGAGGATCCGGAACCGGTTGTCCTGGGCAAGAGGGGACGGAGTGTTGCGGATGTGGAGGTTGTTTTTGGACATGTGTTCGAGGAAACTCATGCCAGAGAGACACAGGATGAGATGCTGCGCAGTGATGAGGGCTCGGAAGGGCCGGTGTTGCTGGGTGTTGGGGAGCA